TTTCAAGGGTAGTAATATATGCATGAAATGTCACTTAGCTTCAGTGATAAATCGACTAATTTTTATAATAAAAAGGGGGGACTAATCTTTATTATTTTCTCGATCTGCCATCTTTTTTGAATCAGAAATCTACAATTAATTTATTTAAAAAGAAGATAGATTTAAAATTAAGATTGGATAAATAATTTATTATGTTAAATAACACTGTTAATAGCTTCGAATTTCTGCCATCAAGGAGAACAACGTCAGTTCTTAAAAAAAGCTTTTCAAAAGTACTAAAAATCCGACGTAATTTGATGTTAGCCGAGCTTGAAGAGCTTTTATGTGATTCATCATGTTCTTACTTGTCATTCTTTTCCTTTTTTTTTCTCTTTTTTTCTTTCTCTCTAAATATAGATAGTTACGTTCTGACTTAACGTTGCTGTCATTGTATTTGTCAATCTATATGTATGGTAGTCCTCAGAATTTTGCGTGTAGTTGTATGTAATATGCATTGCATTTTTGCAAATTGTCGCTTAAATATTATCATGAGAATGCATCCAAAAACTTTCATTTGTTGCACTAATCGTGGTCTTCCACAAAAAATTGCAAAATAGAAACAATTTTATTTAAAATATTTGGAAGCGTGTTGCAAGAATTCTACATCTCTTAGAATTCTTCGAAAGAAATGTAAACAAATATTTATATAAAAAATAAAACGCTTATTCCTTTGTTCAATTCCGCGGAATTGCGTCTGCCATTATCATAATGTTTAGTTTAAATTAATCCAAGAATATGCATTCGCCATTTCATTGATATTCTATCGGTCGTCGTAAATTGTGTGTGTATTATCTTTACGTTGCACGTCGAATTGGTTTATTCCATCTGATCGAACTTGTGAAGAAAACATGATAAATTTTTATGTAATGATGAGTTTTTTTTTGCATACAGCGGCTTATTAATTAATAGGTATTATTTAAATAAATTTTTTATTAAGCAAACTATCTATATATTTAATAGAATACGAGAAAATATTTAAACGCGCGTCGCTTATTATATTTACGATTTCTATTAAGATTTATTTAAGTTCTTACTGTATAACTGGACAACATTAATCCGTTTACTAGGTTTGGCTGATTGTTTATTTTTAATTAACGTGTCCTGCTTTCGGTTTGTTGATTTTCTATACCAGCTTTAGGGTCATAGATTAAAGTTCCGAAATTTATATAATATATATATGGAGATTAGGGAGAAATCCAATAATATAATATTATCAAATAATATTAAAATAATATGGAAACATTGGTTGTCGTTTGTAATAACAAAAATTTAGATCCTACAATATTTTTTATAAAATTACATACACGCGGAGCTATGGCGAGTCTTCTTTAACTCATCGCGACTTATTGCAACGCCTGCAGAGAGATATCCTGCTATACCAAAGAATCGTCTCGATTCTTACGCGCAGACGGATATAAGATTTTATTCGGTGTATTCTATTTTATCAATTGCATATTTAGAAAAATTAAAAGAGGAGATTAAAACTTTGGTTTTCTTAAGCTCGAATTTAATATTTTTATTTCAAATATAGATTTATGTTTTTTCATATAATGTATATATTTCTTTATTTACATTTTGTTTTACATTATATAATCTGTACCTCTTATAGTTTTTTATAGTATTTTAATTTTTATTTATTTATTTTACTATTTTTTATTTTAATTCTAATTGTAGTTTTATTATAATAATTAATAGTGGTGATAGCGCAACATTCATATAATAAATTGCTCATAAATTTTCCTTTTCTTTTACTATAATCTTTTTGTCAACGATTCACATTATTTCACACAAGTTGGCAATGATCCTGGAACATATTTCCGGCAAATCTGGACTCATGTTATCGCAGTACGTGACTCTATTCGATGCTGGGACACAACTCTAGATGATAAAATTCAAGCTACAGGGTGTTGTCTGTATTATATCAGCAGTTTCGTTTCCCCAAATCTCATCACGTATTAAGCTTCTCTTCTGTGTGTTGCAATTTCTGCCTTTTCATTGTTAGTATTACACGGACTAGGAATATTCAAAATGATTCCTATCGTTCTATTTCATTTCAGCTTGAATAAAGTCCCGCGCAATAATGCCGAATTTATAAATAATTGATTTACAAATATAGATTTGCAAATTCAAGATTTCGTTAAAGTTCCATCAAAGTAAAATCTGTTTGTGATTATTCCAAAAGACAAAGATATTTCATTATCTGTTATCAAAGATTATTTCATGAAAATCCATATATCCTTAACAGTTTTTAATTGCAACATATTTATAAGAAAGTATCATACAGCTCTAAGAATTTGTCTAGGATTAATCCTATGTGTATTATATGTAATATAAATATAATATAAAATTTATATAATATTTATATAAATACAAAATTTTTTTTATATTGGTAAATTGTATATAAAATATATTAGTATAGAAAAAATTAAAAATATCGGAATATTCACATATTTGCTCAAAGCATACAAATCCGCAATAGAATCCTCTTCTGCTAACGAGATTCATTCCCTCATTTTTCTTGTTTTCTTTCGCGTGGTACCCAGCCATAAATTTCGATTGGAGAACTTATGGTGCACTTCGTGGTTCTCGTATTAAAGAGGACCGCAACGTGCGCGCATGCTTGCGCCCTCCACTCGTAAATCCCAATCAGAACTCGCAATTTATGGAACGGGTTACCATGGCACGTCTCGCAATTCGTTGTCTAAATGCACGCAAATCCGATCATCCCCCGGCGACGAGCAACTGTGCGCGACTTGCTCTTTGATTTGGCGCCGCTTCCGTGTTTTCTGCGTCTTTTTTCTTTCCTACCTGCCGCCGGCGACGATAACTCTAAACGAACGATACTTTTATGGGCAACAAATTACATCTCGAATCACCGCGATTCCTCGAACAGAATCTGCAAAACAAAATTAACGACACACCAACATGATCTCCGATTTTCAAAAATTACGTTTTCTCTCCTTTGTGTCTTATGTTGTACCTTTCTAAAGGGAAATATCTTATTTAACGCATTCTCAAAATACATCAGGCGAAAAAAATTGTAGTTTTTTAGAACGTTTAATCTATCTAAAAAAAACAAAAAAAAGTTACATATGCCGAATCTTTTTCGCATAATGTCCGATCGGCTTTTAAAATCTTCGACTCTACTCTTATCCTGGCGTTTTGCGACGAAACGGAGTTCGGACAGAAAAAATCGTTGTTAAATTTCAGTAAATGGAGTTGTCGCCGATGGGTTCGCGGAAGAGGTTCCTGTCTGAAGAGGCGGGAAACGAGGTTTTCATTGAGCCCAACTGAACTGAAATACAGATTACGTGTCAACATATCCAAGAACTGCAAAAGAGAGCGGTGACTCTTAATGGAATCGGAAAACGATTTGTAATGGGAAGTAAAATGGTCGCTTAAGGCGCGTCAGCATCAAGTCGGCGAGCTCGATTCGGTGAAAAAATTGTCGGCTGTGGATGATACGTTCGCTCGAGCGCAAACTGCGATGAAAATTGATGAATTTCAAGATGCAATCTTGTCTTACTTGCAAGTATCTTTGATTGAAAGAAAATCTTGGAACATTCTGTATATCCATCACAATTTTCTTTTTAAAATCTTAATATTCGTTCGATTTTTGATTACGTGTCGAAAACGTCGAATGATGCAATAGGAGTTAAAATATTTAACAGATGTTCGAACTATTCATATGAAATATTCTCACTGGTTAATTTTATAGTTTTTGATACATGTCAAACTTTTCGATACACATTGCTTGTGCGACCAACTATTTGCAACAGCATCACCGAACTTTCCTCGATAGCTAATATTGTAATAGCGATGATTAGTGCCACTATCAAGCGCGATATTATAAAGAAAATACATGCCGATTATCATGCGAGAAGACAAGAATGCTCATTGGTTTCATCATCTTCGATGATGGGTATTTACGGCATCTGTTATACTGGATTGCCATTTATCATAATAAAGCTATTATATGCGAGGATTAAGTCAAATGGAATAATCGCGTATAATCAAATATATGTGTGTAATCTTTTCAAGAAAAATTCTGAGGATTACAATTAAATTAAACTGGAGTGTGTGTTTTTGCTTCTTCAAAACGTCAAAAGCAAAAATGCATGATTTTAATGGAACTTTAAAAATAATGTTTTTTCTACGTTTTTCGCTCTTCTCATCTTCAATTAAAAGATTTTTTTATGGAATGTCGAGCGTAAAGATACGCAAATTTCAATCATATTTAATGTTACCTACACGCGAAAACTGTTGAAAATTGTTTTTCCAGAAAAATATGTAATATAACGTTTTAAGTACACGATAAGAGACTATCTCATTTTAAAGGCGACCCGGTGTGCTGAAACAATAGCTAGCAGACTGATGTTTCTGCGCCAGAGAAGGACATCATTTTTCTCATCCCCCTTTCATATATCTACTTTCTCTCTATTTTCTTTGCATCAAACGAGATAAAAGAGAAAATGAGTGAGAAAAGCGGCGCAAATATAGTATGTCCGTAGCATACATTTTTCCTCTGATCTCAAACGATTCTCGCGAAAAGAACTATTAAAAGCGCTATTTTACATTCTTATGAATTTTATAATAGCTTGTAAGCAAGACATATTTTTACATTACTAATGTAAAAGTTGTTATAAATATTTGGATTAATTTATTCTTTTGCAAATGTTACGCGTTTACCGCGCCGATAAAAGTTCTACAAACATTAATTCTTTTTAAATCTTTCAGTAAATTTTTACGAAGCTTTATTATATCTTTTTCTATTATTATATTAAACTTTGAAAGAATATTTTACTCTATTCTAGGAAATATTCAAAATAACAGTAGTAAAAGTATCATCGTTCATGTGAAGTGTGCGAAAAATATAACTGCGTCGTATAAAGATCAAAGACAGCAAGAACAAATAATTTTTTAATGAGAATTCACTTTTTGTTTTTTCTGAATGATTCCAGAATGCAGGATTCCAGGTGCACAGGATAGAATGAATCGTCGGGAAGACCCGCTGTTACGGCAGCATCGTAATCGTTTGCTGCAATTGGCCGAGGCGACGAACATCAAGCCTGGCCGTGGCAGCGGGAAGAGACGCGGACAAAGACAGTCGCATGGTTTCGGACCCAGGTCAGTTCATAGTTTGCAAACTTGTCAAAAATTTGCATCAATCAGTAAACGGAAAAATAATTTAGATATATCATTTTCACATAAGTAATAGATAATTAAGTTAATAAGTAAGTTAATAAGTAAAGTTAATTAAGTTAATAAGTAAAAGTTAATTAACTATATTAAAGTAGTAGTAAAATAATCTTAATGAAACAAAAATTTTTGTTTTAAGGATTCATCTTCTGAGCAAAAAATTAATGGCTATATTTAAAAGACTGCGCGACGCGACGGCGCAATTTTATGAGGGACGAAATATATTATTTAATGGTTAAAATTCATCCGGACGGAATAATTTATTGAAATTAATTAAAAAATATTGATCGAAAATCGAATTTTCTATAAATGGACATTTATATTCCTTTCAAGTAGTTAGTATTTTGTCATTGATTACTAAGATCAATTGACGAAACTTGGCACTATGTGTGGATTATTGCAGTAACGGCGGTCCCAGCCGCGTGACGCTCCAGGATATCGTCAGGAGCGATCCTGGATACACGCCGAACATCGAGCACTTAGTGTTTCCGGAGCGCAAGAGCAGCAATCCGAATTTAGCGGGCGTCGCCGATGGCTCGCCGCCAAATAAATCCAAGTCGAATGCGACGAGCTCGGGAAGATCCAGGCTCGCCGAGGTCTTTGCTCGACATTACGCAAGAGGATCTTCGCAGGACTCGTCCGTTACGTCCAGAAAGAATCACGTGAATGTATGTATTCGAAATCCGATTGAATTTTTAATTAATTTATTTTATTAATCGACGTTGCTGCTTATTGTCGATATTTAATTGTGTTATAATAAGAATCGTCGTATTTTCTTTTGGTTCGTCGGGAACAAGATGTTGATAAAAGCAGTAGACTAGATACATCCAAAGAGACAAATTCCTAGGCCTTTTATGAATTAAAATTTTATTATAAATTTTGTTATATGTGTACTTGTCGATTGACAACAGATGACATATCTCCAAATAGAATGTCTGCTTTTTGTAGCTTCCCGATGCACGATATTTTTCTGCAACACGATTCTTACATACAACTAAAATCGTGAAAAAAAAAAAGTGATTGAATCTGCTGATCAAACATGTAATTGCAACGAACAAAAAACATTGGCGCAGCAATCAATTTTTTCGTCAGTATTTCGCAATGTTATTAATTCTTACATACAACTAAAATCGTGAAAAAAAAAAGTGATTGAATCTGCTGATCAAACATGTAATTGCAACGAACAAAAAACATTGGCGCAGCAATCAATTTTTTCGTCAGTATTTCGCAATGTTATTTTAACCTCTTAACCTGGCTTTATACTAGCGCAGTTACAACAGAACGATTAAAATTTCCGGTTTTTAAAAACATTTTTTTATATTTTTTTAAAGTCAATTTTTTATTATTTGAAATGTTCGATCGATTGTGACATTGTAAGTAAATTGACAGACAGCTGTTCTAAAATCGGACGGTGCGTCAATAGGATGTTGGCTCGCGCGGAGTAATAAAAGTCAATAAAATGACACGCACATTAGACGGGACTTGCGGCTCATCGACAGATCAACCGCCGGACGAGTTCTCTTCTTGGTCACAGGACGAGGATAAAAATACTTTCATCGACACACGGCGGAGTTGCGCCAGTCTGCCAGTCGCTCGTACATGCTTCGACCGTATTTGGAAGTAGAAACAGTCGCTGAAGCATTTATACGGCCACACGAGTTTAATCCGCGGTCCGATGTAACGATAATGGTACCTTAACGCGGGCCTCCTTTAGCGATTGACACAATTTCATAACGGTCGTGGCTGGCGATAATGGCAGCCGCTAACGAAGTCGCGATTAATAAAGGAATCCAAAAGCGGGCAGAAAGAAAAAAGAAACTTTGATACCGTCGTGACGTAATACGATTATATTTCAGAAATTTGCGTTTTGATACCTTTTTCAGAAAATGTCTCGATGATTGAAATCGAAGCGTTATCGATAAAATCGCGGAAATTTAAAATATCATTTATTTCAACGAATTCTGTATACGGGAAATATAATACCTCTCAGTCTCTTGCCTGAATAATTTGTTAACATGTTACGTCCTACACAGATTTTCTCTCGCGTGCCCACGAAGAATGGCCTTGGATTTTTTCGGTTACAGAGTACGTCGCTGGACAGTGGAAACGTGGTAGGTCATCAGCCCGGGCCTGGCGGACCCACGGTGGTGACGCGAAGCACCGGACGCCGCTGGCTGTCACAGAACTCGCAGTCCTCGAGGCAGCATTCGGAGGATGGGATACGTGGGGGTAACGTGGGCGTTGGAGGGCCCGTTTCGACCTCGTCCTCGAGTCAGGCTCCCGGTCAAACCGTGCCTCCCGCTCTGCCACCGCGAAGAGTCAATCCGGCCACAGATACAAGCGAGATCGCCAATTCTATCTCGCGTATCGACAGGTAATGTCGTGTGTTTAATTTGTTTTTCGTTCAACCTTGCTGCGACCGGAGTTGTCTCATTATGTTCTGTGAATCTACAAATTTCACGATTATTGGCTATCGCGCAGTGCTTTTAGTAATTGCTTTTGCAGTATTGAAAAATATAAGATCAGAGAACTTAGAAAAATCGAATGTGTGCGTTTATGTGCATTTGGGAAAATTTCGTCGAATGATTATTGTCGACTAGTAAAATCGTGTATGTTAGAACAGTGTAGTGTCTCCACTTGTGTCGCTGAAAAAGACATTCAAGACAAAATATGATTTCGTGGGATTAGCGTCCATGTCGTATCAGAACGGAGGGAAAATATTCGCTCCATCGTCATTCTGTGTGTTTGAGTTTCCCTTTTCCTTCTAGATTCTGTTTAGACGCTAGCAATGTTTACATACGATGTAAATTTCATGAGGCCCAACGGACTACCGCGAGGACCATTCTCTTCTCGTGCTTTGTGCACTCGGATTGCTCGTCAAATATAATCTGTTTACAGGAAGGAATTTAAAATTCATTGGGCAAACGCTGAATCCCTTATTCTCAAGGTCGATTGCCTGCCCATTGATTTGCGAGGATAACTAGAGATCCTCGAAAACGTGTCTACACTATAAAAAAAGAAAATTTTAATTATACGATAAAAGAAGCTCATTTCATCTAAAAAAATATTTGTCTACGTTTATCATTTACTCGCACATAAATTTAACGAAATTGCAATCGCGTGCAAGTCAGTTTTAACGGATGAAAAATATAATAGATAGATATAAAAGTGAGAGCAAGTGAGAGGTATAAATCTGCAGCCTGTGGATTAACAAAGACGGTGGTCATCCCATCCCCTATTTGGACTGACAGATCGTTCTATTTAAAGAACGATTCTATTTAAAACACCACGAGTAAAGAAGCAATGTCGATTAAGAGGTAAATATGATTAATCGAGGACAGATATTCTCGTCTCATTCGCGATAGCGACCGCCCGATCTGTTTGGCGCGTTTCGTCAGCCATATCGATTAAAGGTTATTCGCAGCGAATAATATACCCGAAATACTTTGTCACCTAGTTTCATCATATGGACATTTAGCCCAAATTAATTAACGGTTTAATAAACTATGCCGAACCTTACACCTTTCATATAAATTCAATGAAAAATTCTGTATTTTTCATTAATAATTTTTTTCAACATATCCCATTGAATTATAAGTTTAAATTCTCATAAAATTGCTCTTGTTTAATGATTCTGTCGACTAAAAGCTCTCAAAGTGCTGTCGAGCAGCTAATTTCAAATTTATCCGGCAGATCAAAATAGCATCTAAATATGGCAGTATTAGCGAGACTTTGAGACGCGGCTCGAATTCTCCTTCAGAGAATTTCAATTTCGCGAACGTTCTCCTCTCATCTACTCTCAGATTTCTTTGATCGCGCATTAATCGCGAACGACGGTGAATCTTTTGAACGACGAACTTTAGCCAGAGTGTGTGACAAAAAGATCAATCATATTCAGTCTACCAATTATTTCCCGGATTCGTCTTATAGAGAATTTTATACGGCGACCTCCACAATCGCAAATGTCTTTCTTATTAATCTTAATATTTCTGTGGAAAAAAATTTCATTCCCTCGTACAGCGTGAAATGTAATATTTTCACGTGATGGTGATCCATGATGGAACTTTTACCGTACGACAAGAAGCATACGAGGGAAGAGAGCGACAGAAACAAAAGAGAAGAGTAGGAAAATAAACATTTTTGTTTGCGAAAAGATCTCATCCGAGGAAAATGTTTGGATATCCGACCATTCACCGTGGCTTTTTAGTTTTTAGCCGAATGATGCATGAATGTACGCAATGCAATCTAAATGCAGCTTCGCTCTCTCTTCCTCTTTCTGCATCTCTCTTTTTTCTCTCTCGTATATTTCTTGATGTACATACAATCTTGCTTTATAAATATTCATCGCCGGCCGTCAGGTATGATACAGATATCGTCGAATGGAAGAGAGAAACGAATGAAGATGCCGCGCGGGGAAGAAGTGAGTGAGGAGGCGTGTATATAAGCAAAAACGAGCGCATCTATCTTACTTCAAAACGTCGACGGAGGCGAGAGACTTCCTGTGCCGACTGTCGCGTAAAATCCCCGGAGATACTAAAAGTGCATCGCGAGTCGATTTCCTTTTGCAACGAAGTAAAGCGAAATTCTAGATTTGATGATAACAAATCAAAGAAGTACAAAAACAGGATACGAGTTCATGCAGCCGTGCGAAGGAACTCTCGTATTATTACAACTCCATCGATCTTAGTAATAAAACGTAAATTATATGAATGCTAAGAATTATAAAATTTTATAAAATTTATAAAATTAAGAAATTTCATATATAAAAATTTAAAATTAAAATTAAACAAAAATTAGACAAAAATTGCAATAAATTACATATCATAAGAAAAAGAATCGTGTGTGCCATCTCTAAAGAAAGATAATAAAATGAGGCATACATACTATAACGTCATACATATTCTAAATTCTTCGAATATATGTATATTTATTTATTATTAAACACACATATACACACACACACACACACACACACACATATGGAATAAAATTCAAATTTATATCCAATGAATTTTGCCCTTACGCCACATGCTAATGATGTATATTTATTTATTATTAAACACACATATATACACACACACACACACACACATATGGAATAAAATTCAAATTTATATCCAATGAATTTTGCCCTTACGCCACATGCTAATCAGCTGTGAAACTTTATTTCAAGAATAAGCGTAGTTATGTGTGTCGATAAAATGATTATATTATAATTGTATTATATTCTTGGCACCTTGAATTCCGGATTCGAAGGGAGGTAAACTTTGGTTGCAGGGGCCCGAACGTGTCGATCCTCCATCTTTGCAACGCAGCGGACCCTTGGGAAGTCGGCTCTCAAGGCTCCTCGTACAGCGTCGGCAGCAACAAGAGTCAGACAGCAGGCAGCAGAGGCAAATCCGGCGGGAACACACGGGGATCCTACAACCGTGGTAGCTCGATACCATCCTTGAAACGTCACGATACATCCACGTCGACCACGTCGGTGTCAAGCCTTAAGCAACATCGACAAGACAGTCATGGCCAGGTAAGCAGAATCTTATATTAGACGTAAATTGGCGTCTCTGTCAGTCTATTTGAGAAATCTAAGATAAAGATCGAACTTATGCTCGGGAATTCAAGAAGATAATAACATAATTGATCATCGTACTTAATATTAATTAAAGTTGCGGCGCATAATTAATATTAAAAGTTAGTTTTAAACTTTAGCTGATATTTTTTGTCTTTACCCCGCTCGAAAAAAAGAGATTAATAAAACGCTTAAATCACGATTAGCGATAATTAATATTTACGAAAATGACTTTATATGATTTATCCCATAATTATTTGGTATTCTAATTGTTACAAAAAGGATAATGGGAAATAATAGTGTCGTATATTCTCACTCGCTTTCTCTGTTTAATCTTTTAATACGAATTTAAAAAAATGTCATTTCTTTTAAATTGAACTGACTCTACCATAATTGTCACGTTATTTAAACTTAGGTGACATAACGCTATAATAGCATAATAAATATAGAACTGTTAATTGTTGAAATATATATAAAAAAGATGTTGAGAGAAATTATAAATAATATTATTTTTCCGGATCAATTTTCTAATATAGATTAGAATGTTATTTTTTTACTAGAGTCAAATTCTATTGTTGCGTTGTTCAAATATATTAACGTAATTAAATAAATAAATAAATGTGACGTGAAAAAATGGAAATTAAAATAACATTTAGAAAGTCCATTAGCGATGAGAATGCTTGCCTATACAGGTATCCTCCAGTTCTCGCCGACGTGAAGCCACGAACTCTTTCCTCTCGGGTAATAGTGGCACCTCTGGCGAGCTGTTCATCAGCGGTGATTGCAGCCGCGAGCTGTCACCCGTGCGATGGTGCGATCGCGAGGTCGATGGCGTTTACCTGGGCCGTTCAGGCTGGGTGCAGGTACAACAGCGGTCTCTCGACGAGAATCGTCGTGCGAACTACGAAAGCAACCTGGTGACCGCTACTACTGGCACTCTACCGTTGTCACGACGCGCGGCGGTCAAGCTAGCGGACTATCACTGCAACAGCGAACCAGGCAAGTGCCCGCAGGACTTTGCCAGAGGATTAGATTCGCAAAGACCAGACTTCCTCGCACTGCACAGCCAGGATTTCGACTCCATCACGACCAGCACCTGCACGTCGCCGCACAGCATCCCGGAATCATTCTCGCCACCATCGATCACGCCGATTATATCGCCGCCGCCGGCTTTTCAAGATGCCGTCACCGGCAGAAAATCGTCCTCCTCCAGGCACTCCTCCGGCGGGCGCAGTAATTACGGCAGCAAGGCGCCCTTTTTGCCGCGATCGAACGCCATCGTCGACAGCGACATCATCAGTCCGCCTCCGTCCCCGCCGCCTCACCAAGTGAACTGGAGTTCCCTACCGTCCGGATCTAGGAAAAATTTCGGTTCGGCGGCGTCCAGGTCGAAGAGACAGAACGCCAGCCAGCAGCAACAGCAACAGCAGCAGCAGCAAAAATATCGTATGGCACAGGCCAAATCTTTGGAAGATCAATCGTCCTCCAGAAGGTCGCAGTTTGCGCAGAGATATCTCGAATCATCCAGTTCGTCGTCGTCATCGATGGGTTTCAGGAGTCTCGACAGCTGTGTCACCAAGTCCATCATGCCCAGCTTAGCAGAGAATACGGATTCTTCCGTTGAAGGGTATGTGTAAAAGTTTTAATTGCAATTATAATGATTTTGTCGGTCAAATATTAAAAATTAATGATTAAAAATTATTAAAAATGACCGCGCTTTGTCTGGATTAAAAATATTTGGTAGAATAATCTTGTATTACAGAATTAAAACACACACAACATTTATTTTTATTAATCAATAAAATATATACCTGTGAATCGATATATCTAAATATTAACAAATTTTTATTAAAATTGAGAGAAATCTAAAAACATCCACCGAAAAAATATTGATTTTTCAATACTAGATATGAGGATGGTGACGAAGACGAAAACCCCAGCTCATCCTTAAATCTCAGTCTGGTGTCGTCATCAGTTCTTGCATTGAATTCATCCACAGAGTCAATTCGCGCCAACGGCGAACGAATTTCGCCCAACAGGCAAGGGTAGGCATATAAAAACTGATGAAATCCGGAAGTAGAATTTTAACAGAAAAAAATAGTAAACATCTTATCAAAAATCTTATTAAGAGAATTTTTTTTATTCACATAACAAACAATTATTTTCACATATTTTTTAATTTTGATTATTTTTTAAAAATTATTATTGTATACATATATTATAAAAGAGCAGAAAAAATATTAATTTAATATTACAATTTGTTATAATGATTTTGTCGGTCAAATATTAAAAATTAATGATTAAAAATTATTAAAAATGACCGCGCTTTGTCTGGATTAAAAATATTTGGTAGAATAATCTTGTATTACAGAATTAAAACACACACAACATTTATTTTTATTAATCAATAAAATATATACCTGTGAATCGATATATCTAAATATTAACAAATTTTTATTAAAATTGAGAGAAATCTAAAAACATCCACCGAAAAAATATTGATTTTTCAATACTAGATATGAGGATGGTGACGAAGACGAAAACCCCAGCTCATCCTTAAATCTCAGTCTGGTGTCGTCATCAGTTCTTGCATTGAATTCATCCACAGAGTCAATTCGCGCCAACGGCGAACGAATTTCGCCCAACAGGCAAGGGTAGGCATATAAAAACTGATGAAATCCGGAAGTAGAATTTTAACAGAAAAAAATAGTAAACATCTTATCAAAAATCTTATTAAGAGAATTTTTTTTATTCACATAACAAACAATTATTTTCACATATTTTTTAATTTTGATTATTTTTTAAAAATTATTATTGTATACATATATTATAAAAGAGCAGAAAAAATATTAATTTAATATTACAATTTGTTATTTAAAATTACACAGCGAAAATCTTTCGCGATGTTATTCGAAAATAAAATGCAGTGTTATATCCAGGAGAATCCACAGAAGTCAACAGGGACTGAGAAGATCGCCAGGATCCTCCGAGTCAGGAAAACAGATGTTCAATTCATCCTCTTTGTCGTCTTCTTCCTCGTCCAGCAGTGAGGAGCGACAAGGACGGTCACCCACGCCTAATCCCTTCAGACGCAGTAATGCTTCGCGACAGCATCAGAGTGCCAGGACCAATCAGATGTCACCTGATTCTCATCAATCCCGAGTCAGAAGATCCAGGAGTCTCCAATTGCCCGAGAAAAGGTCACCGGGAACGGCTGGACCGCAGAGGGATCATTCTCGAGAATCAAACGAGCCTCACAGAGTCGTCGTGAAGATCGTGAATGATCGAGTAAACGAGAGGCCTAAGCGCCATGTTCTTCAGAATAGTGAGTACCGCCTCTCAAATATTCTACATATTAACTTTCGATGCTGCACACGTGTATCGAATGTTTTATAATGCTGTGCATGATGTTCGTAAGCATATTTTATAAAGCTGCTTTCATGAAAGAATAATGATCGTGTTCAGAAAACATCAATGATGATTTATTCCTTGTCTTTGGTAATATCAATTTTATGTTTATTTTCTCATCTATCTATCATCTACATATTTTTATTTCAAACAAAATTCTGTATATAAAATACAAAGCTTTATAAAAACAAAAAAAGTCTTGTAAAATCTAAAGAATTACATATTCTCTCTTTTTAAAACGACCAATATAAAAACCAATATAATATTTAAAAATAGAATATATCAAATATTTGTTATATAAAATTTAATGCAAATAAAAAATTGAACTAAGAAAAATATTTTTGCGAAAAACACGATATCAAATCAAAATGAATCAAATCCTTTAATCTCAGTCTCGTACTCGATTACTTTTTCCATATTCTCTAGGAAAGGCTCAGTCTACCGATGACACCATAAACGAAAACCTTCTTCGCGAGCCGGAAGTAGTAACCGAATATCTATACGGCACGCGAAGTCGCGTCGTGCCAAGAAGCAGCTTGTCGAGCCGCTACGAACGTCGCGACGAGAATCAAGAGCAAAGGCGAGGCACTTCCAACACCTACGACGTCTACATTATATCTTCCAAGCAGCAGCAGCAGCAGCAGCAACAACATCAATCGTCGAAAGTATTCAACTCTCCGCAGCCGCAGCAACAGCCACAGCAGTCGCAACAACAACAACAACAGCAACAACAACAACAACAACAATCCCGGCGACCGCGAACACTGCAGAGAGGCGCCACAACGCCGAATACGAGCGCACCGTCTGTCAATCAAGACTTCAGTGACTTCAGTAAACTACGCTGCAACAGCAGCACGTGTGATTTCTGGCCTCACTGCTCCCAAAGAGAAACTCTATATTCGCCAAATCAGGCGCCACCGCCGGTCTTCATGAAGCTATCGCAGAGCTATCCGTCACATCAAAGGCTCTCCACCGACACCGGTAGTCATCGAGGTAGCGCCAGCTCGTCGCCGGCTTCCCTGGAGCGGATGGATGATCGGGAGCTCCGCGAAAGAGACAATTTGAGAAAAAGCAGAAGCAACCAACAGGGCAACTCCAAGTATCAAGAGAGATCCAAGAGCATGCTCAAGCAGACTAATAGATGGTCACCGCTGGAGGGAATTAATGGCAATGGTTTGTAACAAATATGTCTAATTATAAAAAAAAAAGAGAGATTACATTGAATTAAATAATTTCTGCGAAAATATAATTTTTCTTATAAATCAATAAACATTTTATTTTTTATTTAATAAAACAGTGTTTATTTTTATTTTAACGTTTAATAAACAATTTATCTCATCAATAATAGGTTCCGGAGTGGAGAAGAGGGGTCAGATGCACCATCGAGTGTACCGGAAGCCCGATTTCCCGGGATCTTTCGAGGGCGCCGAGAACAAGGACAGGAGAGTGTCGCCTATCCAAGGAATGAACGTTGTCAGCAGATCGCCGAGCAGTGGCCCGATCGCCTCCACGTCCACGAATACCTCGTCGTCCTCGAGCAGCGATATCTGGATCACCACGTCGGATCGCACGGTGACAAAGAGCCCGCGGAACGCGAAGAGCTCCGGTGCATCCACGCCGATGGAGGATGCCGTGATCGGTTCGCTGAAGACGCTGATAGAGCCACCGAAGGACGGTACGCTGTCCAGGCCCGGTAGCGCGCCGACTCGGGGCGAGGATTCGCTCACGGATGACATCATCCTGGATCCTCATCAACGATCCTTGTCGCTGCCAAAGTCCTTCCTGGCGCACAACACGGCGGACGGGTGAGTATTTGCGACAGTATATTTCTCGCATATTTCTCACATATTGCCCATCGACATGTCCGCGGATAGAGAACGAGAGAGAAGGTTGTAGAAACTTCCAACACCTACGACGTCTACATTATATCTTCCAAGCAGCAGCAGCAGCAGCAGCAACAACAACATCAATCGTCGAAAGTATTTAACTCTTCGCAGCCGCAGCAACAGCCACAGCAGTCGCAACAACAACAACAGCAGCAACAACAACAACAACAACAACAATCCCGGCGACCGCGAACACTGCAGAGAGGCGCCACAACGCCGAATACGAGCGCACCGTCTGTCAATCAAGACTTCAGTCCAGACACGAAACTACGCTGCAACAGCAGCACGTGTGATTTCTGGCCTCACTGCTCCCAAAGAGAAACTCTATATTCGCCAAATCAGGCGCCACCGCCGGTCTTCATGAAGCTATCGCAGAGCTATCCGTCACATCAAAGGCTCTCCACCGACACCGGTAGTCATCGAGGTAGCGCCAGCTCGTCGCCGGCTTCCCTGGAGCGGATGGATGATCGGGAGCTCCGCGAAAGAGACAATTTGAGAAAAAGCAGAAGCAACCAACAGGGCAACTCCAAGTATCAAGAGAGATCCAAGAGCATGCTCAAGCAGACTAATAGATGGTCACCGCTGGAGGGAATTAATGGCAATGGTTTGTAACAAATATGTCTAATTATAAAAAAAAAAGAGAGATTACATTGAATTAAATAATTTCTGCGAAAATATAATTTTTCTTATAAATCAATAAACATTTTATTTTTTATTTAATAAAACAGTGTTTATTTTTATTTTAACGTTTAATAAACAATTTATCTCATCAATAATAGGTTCCGGAGTGGAGAAGAGGGGTCAGATGCACCATCGAGTGTACCGGAAGCCCGATTTCCCGGGATCTTTCGAGGGCGCCGAGAACAAGGACAGGAGAGTGTCGCCTATCCAAGGAATGAACGTTGTCAGCAGATCGCCGAGTAGTGGCCCGATCGCCTCCTCGTCCACGAATACCTCGTCGTCCTCGAGCAGCGATATCTGGATCACCACGTCGGATCGCACGGTGACGAAGAGCCCGCGGAACGCGAAGAGCTCCGGTGCATCCACGCCGATGGAGGATGCCGTGATCGGTTCGCTGAAGACGCTGATAGAGCCACCGAAGGACGGTACGCTGTCCAGGCCCGGTAGCGCGCCGACTCGGGGCGAGGATTCGCTCACGGATGACATCATCCTGGATCCTCATCAACGATCCTTGTCGCTGCCAAAGTCCTTCCTGGCGCACAACACGGCGGACGGGTGAGTATTTGCGACAGTATATTTCTCGCATATTTCTCACATATTGCCCATCGACATGTCCGCGGATAGAGAACGAGAGAGAAGGTTGTAGAAATATACCGGTGAATCGTGACAACCACGTTGCTTGATCGAACGAAACGACGGAGGCAATTTCGAGGCAAGTGGTCGGCGAATTGATTCGCCTTAAATATTAGTACGCGGCCGCGTTCGTTTAAATCTTGCGGTGAAGTTTATTGGGTTGCCGGGTTACCATGCTGCGCGCGAGGTCGATTGCACTGGTAATTGGCTCTCCTGGATCGAAATCCCGTCGGGTATTCCATTATACGTGCTCTGCATACGCGAGTCGTGCCGGGAGTCGGCTTATCCTTGCCAGCACATCCTTGGGATTAGATTTAAGCCTTAGATGCGAATGTTACGCGATCGCACGCATTTATTAGCAAGCTACTTGAAATCGATGTTATAACGTACTGTACGTTATAACATTTATTAGATATGCGACGTGGTATTAAAAATGCAACTGCAGATTTGTTCTTAATGAACGTATTGATTATTTAATTACTTTTTTAAAAATAATCTTTCACAATAAAAAAAGCAGAGTGTTATAAATGTTAGATTAAATAACATATCAGACTTGATATGTCATAAAAAGATTTTCGTAAAATAAGATTTTGATATGAAGAAATGGAAATGGTTAAATACATATGTACTCGCGTAGAATAATATTTTTTTTAGTAGTGAATTTCTCATCGGCATCGGCAAACATTTGCGAATAACACAAAGATATATTCAATATTGAATTCGTAGATACATTCGTTTACAAATTTTTACGCGAACCTATCGTAACATAATTAAGAAAAATTATTGAAGGAGAGAGATTATTCAGAAAGATCTAAAGAAGCAGTGTTGCAAAACATCGCAGCTGACGCTATATTAATATATTTGACGTTATATTATGACTTTATAATTACGTGATAAAGGACACTCAGGGATGACAGCTCTGCGCGAGGCTGCGTTTGTTGTAAAAACACGTGCGCTTTCATAAACGACACGTGCAAAGCTTTCAATTAAACTGTCACGAAGATGTGTCGCGCCTTCCTGGCGTCCTTTCGACGTATAATTGTAATTTTAGCGATAACCCGAAAGCATTTTCTTTCTTGACAGGAGTCATTTTCCACTCGCTAATCACTCGATCAAATGATGAAAGCCGAATTGAAACGTAACGGTTCTACTAATAGCGTGATCGCATGTCCGTGACGTGCAGTATAAATACATCGATGCACGGGAGTTGAGATGTTTGATTGTCTCCTGAATGCATCGCATTCGCGTGTTCACGTTAATTCTCGCGCTATTGCCATCGTCGTGTTTTGCATCATCCTGTTAGCCAGGTTCGCTCATTCGTGCAAATACGCGATAGATCCTGGTGTACATCCTTGAAACTTGCCGCGGCTGGCATTGTCTGTCAATTTCCGATTTCGACCATGAATGCGAATGCCGTGTTGACTCGGAAAGACTAATTGATTTATGTGCAATTTCCCCACGACGTAATTCTCTTTGTACGTTGAAAAGATTTTTTAAAGAAAGAAAGATTTTTTGTCGCGTTGTAAGACAGAGTCATTTCTCGGATCTTACCTAATCATCTGCCTGACATTTGGCAGTGAATATCTGCTATAATGGTGCAACACTGTAGTTTCTCAATCGTCGCAATAAAAATGTCGCATTCATAATAAATCTCACGAGGATCTTTCTTTGTTTGCTTTTGGAAACGCACGCGTGTAATGCGACGTAATCGCACGTTCAACGAACCGGTTAAGCATGCGTGTAAACTCACCCACGCACAGCCCACGTGTGATTCGTGCCTCCGCCCGCAACATAAGGTGACAGAAGAAACGACCGCGATTCTCGATCAACTGTCAAAAACAATGCGCAACACGAAGCATATATTTATTTTTAGTCTTTCGAAAATTTTGCATAAAATTGAAACTAATCAAATATAAGGAATTAGATATATTAATTCTTCTTGAAAATTTGCAATTCTGTGTAATTTAAAATTTAGATTCGCGAACATTCAATTTTGCTACGAGATAGAACGTAAATTCCTACATTGATCGTCTTTCGCAGAATTCTCGTGTCCGGTCGGTCGGTTCGCGCAGCATGAAACTTCCAAACTCGACATTATGCGCGCCGAGTTTCCGACGTTTCTGAACTCGATACTTAATCCGGTAAGCGCAAAGTTTCGCGACGCATAACTCCCTTCTTATTTTTAACCGTGAGAGGTGAAAACTTTTGATCCGCCAACCTCTCCGCAGAGCTTCCTGCTGTAGCGTTGCGGAAATCGCGCGCCCTTGAGTTTGTTAGTGTGGAAGTTGCGTTGGAGATCCGTAAAGAATCGCGAGACGATGTGTGTCAGTTCCGCGAGAACTTTCAAGGAATATCTCGCAAATCAATCGAGCTGGAATGGCTAAAGCCTTGACATATGACTTTTAGTCTTTATCGAGGGGTTAAATGATTCTAGAAAAAATAACAGAGCTTCAGATACTTCATTATATCCAAGCCAATTTTGTAAAACATTTTTTACTATTATATATTATTTTATACTATTATATATATATATACACATGTATATTTAACATTATTCACACATTTAACATGTCACATAATATATTAGAAAATATTAATAGTTCGCGATTGATATCGCAATTCGCGCGACAGATTGTTCATTTTGATAAATAGTAATATATTTAGATTACTATTGTTATTTATCAACTCTATAATAGCTATGGTACGTACTATAAATCGTAGTACTCACCATAAATATTCTCTAATAAAAGTAGCAACCATAAATCGTATGAACTACATTGTCGGCAAGGAAAGATATCGATCTTTATCTATGTCATCAAATCTCCACATCAATACGCGGTATAACTGACATTTATTAAATATTTATGGAGTATTATCTATCGCGTGAAAGATAACACATTTCGCTACGCCATAAAAGTGTCACCGCTCAATGTATCATGCTACCTTTCTCTTTATCGAATCCGCCTCGGGAACATCCCTTAGTCGTTTTCACTCGTCTTCCATCTTTCTTAGTCGCTTTCAGAGAATTCTCTTAATGAAAAGACAAGTACCAACCAAACGATTTCACGAGTCATAGATAATGAAGGATTTCGCAAAAGGCGCGATTAAAACTCCTAATAAAATTTATTCACTTTTTTTATAATTTATAAGACATATTAAAAAAACATCAGAGATACTTTGCATATTTCTTTCGAGGTTTCTTTTCAACTATTTTCTATTCATTATAATTATAAATAAAATGTTGATTTCTTTTTAATTCGGCAATAATAGAAGTTTGAAAGAATTTTCTGTATTTATTGCCTTTTTGCACTCCCGCTATTTGCTAAATTCACCATTAATCACGATGAAACGGCAGCAGTATCTTACAGTCGAGTAAATCTTATTTGCCTCTCTGGTGAATTCCAAAAACGACACCTACGAAAATCTCGTACGTAGGCGAAGAAGACGATGACTCCTCGGTCACAAAGCCCGCGCCATATATTGATGTCGTCCACAACATGCTCGAAGTATTAATCTTGCAAGGCTCGTAATTTGCGCGACAGGTGGTCGGTCGAATCTCGAGGCATCGACCGCCGATTCCGATTAGAGATGAGAATTACCGTGTAATTGTTCACCGGGAATTAACGCTCCCCGGATAATCGTAATGCCCGCATATTTCGCAAATTTACGATTACGTCTCCGCATCTTCTCTTCGTAAGATAACATATCGTTCCTTCGAAATTTATCTAAAGAAATTGCGAATATTCTAGTGACAGAGCCAACAATTCAGCAAAATTTATTTCATACGAGATACTCAAGTTAAATTACTTTTGGGGACACGAATATATAAAATATTGACCGAGATTTTATCACTGGAAAAAGTGATCTCCGAAGCATGATTGTTAAAAAAAAAAAAAAAAGAAGAAATCAATTGATCAACTTTAATTGATTTTTTCAAAGCAAATAAAGCTGGATTCGTGCGGCTATAAAATACATTGTTCCACTTTTTGAATATATGGCTATGCAATCTACGCGAAATGTTATACATATATGAAACGCAAATTGCAAACTGTCGTATTAAAAGTGCTTGAAATGATGGATTGCGCTCGCGCTCTTCAATATCGCCATTCACGTTATATTTGGAACTTCATTGCCCGCATCCCTACATCCTATTGCCGCTAATTTTCTTTGGTCCATACCGCTGATTCTGAACGAGTATCGATTTCGCAATCGCACGTGTCCATTCACGCATGTAATTGGGACGGCATTATACTTGATACACTTGAAAGCGCATACCGCGTGCTTCGTGTCAAAGTCAAACGAAAAGTGCGATTTCAACTCGTCAATTTGATATTTGTAACGCGATCTTTTGATTAATCAACTACATGCGATTCGGCGCATTTAACATTGCGTCTCAGCGAGACATTTTCGCAGTCACTGCAAAGGCGAGCATTAAATTCGTAAATATTATTTAAAAGAGAGAAAAGAGAGAAAAAAATGTTTCTTATCATTTTATTAATATCTATCTCGTAATATTAATCGAAAATCTTTCGCATAATCGTTGCAATAATTACACGCTAACTTCTCTAAGAAAAAAGTAATTGCAAAATTTAATGACTTGGAACTAAAATTAATTATTTCTCTTTTGTGACTCGAATGCAACAAATATTAACTTCAAGAGAGAAATAAAAGGTTTTTTAATTATCGGTATTTGCGATATTTTTTAACTCTTTCGTGGTTTGTTCATTGATAATCGATAGTAACGATATTTCAACGAAAACAATTTGTTAGCTCGGGAGTTGTGTTTCAAGTACGGAAGTACGGATTACATGGTCGCATTACGTCTGCGATGACAACAACCGGTTTCGTCTGCAATACTACACATCATCAGAAGATATCGCGAGTGTCAAGTTTTAACATATTTCGTATCTCCGTTGAATCGG